TGGGAGGCTCTAGCTGCCAGGATTGGAAGGCAAATAAGTCTCTTTACTTCTAAAGTCGCCAGACTATACTTTTGCAATGGTTTATCTCACAACTATGCATGAGAGATTTGTTTTAGCATGTGTACCTTAAAGTCTACAGGCTACTGGGCCTAAAGACTATTGAAAAATGAAGAAAAATTTTTAAAAATATGGACTAGGGCTGGGGATGTGGCTCAAGCGGTAGCGCACTCGCCTGTCATGCGCGGGGCGCTGGGTTCAATCCTCAGCACCACATAAAAATAAAATAAAAGATGTTGTGTCCATCGAAAAAACTAAAAAATAAATATTAAAAAATTCTCTCTCTCTCTCTCTCTTAAAAAAAAGATGGACTAACTATATAGTCTTTTGTAATTTTATATATTTTTAAGAGTGATTCTTTAAAGTTTATGCTTATTTACTCTTCTGTTGTGCCTGTTATTAAATTGTTTCTAAACTAAAACAAACTGTAAGCAAGAATGATTTATAGCAATGCAGCAGCCAGATAAATTACAACATTATATTTTGTTCAAATGTTCAAATTCCATAATGCCTAGGCAATTTTTTCCAGACTTTTTCTAAAAGTACAGTATCTCAAAAGAAAAGCCATATGCAAGTTATAAAGAATAAATCTATTTCCAGAATGTTAAGTTCTGTTTAACAAGGTTTTATCCACTTAAATTCTGTATACAAAACATGGTTTGTTTTTGAATTATGGTCAAATGTTCAGTCTTATAGTGGGGCAGGGTATTGTTGCTTTTATTAGTGTATCATCTTTTGCCAATAGGTAACATAATCATACCAATCAAAATAATAACTACATTTTGTAAATTCCCCAACAGGAATTCAGGGAAAATTAAAAGGTGACTAGGAGTGTAGCCAAATGGTAGAACATACACATAACATGCTCAAGGCCCTGGGTTCAGTTCACAGCATCAAAAAAAAAAAAAGTTATTAATAGGTACACAAAAAATTATTGGAAAGTTTAGTGTTATGTCTGGAATAATTTTGTTTTACTCAAAACACCTCCAAAAACATTCAACAGGGGAAATGACGATAAAGAAGAATGTTTAAATAAATATCAGCAAATAAATATAGAATGAAAAATAGGATTTAAAATTAGCATTTGGCAACTCTCAGTGTTATAATTGATTTAGGCAAGAATCAACAATGAATATTAACATAATTGTCTGAAAGATTTGGGGAAAATAGTATCCTTGAAGTTGTAAAGAATCACACCACAGATTATTTATTAAATAAATTAGGGAGAAATACTTCCATGAAGAGATCTAGTAGTCACCTTCCGAACCAAGTATCCAGTGGCATCACCAATAGTGGGGCAAACTGACCTGCGCCTTCCAATGGGATGCAGCAGCACTTACATGGTTTTTGCAAAAAAAAAAAAAAGTTTACCTTGAATCTAATCATAAGTAACAATTGGACACAAATCTAGAGTATGGCACATTCTAAGTAACAACTGGCCTGGGCTTTTCAAAAATGTCAATGTCTTAAAGGACAAAATTTAAGGAAAAGAAAAGAAAGAAAGCTAAAGAAATAAATAGACATAACAACCAAATAAAATGTATGAACTATGACTAGGTCCTAGGAAATAAAAGGTGAATATTTACCTTTATTAACCTTAAGTTATTACTATTATTTTTCTTTGGTGTGAGAGTGATATCTATATCTATATCTATATATGTCATATATATGTATATATATATGTCATACATATATATGTATATGTATGTATATAATATATACGTGTGTGTACATAACTACATATGTGTATACATATAGGTCACATATATATGCGTACATATACATGTATATATATGATTCTATACAGTTACAAAGAAAAATTCCTAAGAAGATGCATACAGAATATTTAGGGCAAAGCATCATAATATATGAAACTTATTTTCCAAGGATTTGGAGAATTACAACTTAAATATATAAAAGAAGATAGGTATATATATGTATAAATATAAAATTATTTTCACACACATGAATAAAAATTTGTTCATACACAAAGTCATTGACCAAATTATGGCAAAATGTTTATAGTTGGTGAATTTAAGTAAAGTATATATAGATATTTATTGTACCTTTCTTTGAACCTTCCTGTAAATTTGAATATTTTCAAAATAAAGAGTTGAGGGAAGGATATTTTATGTTTATGTTGGTGATATCCTAAACCAGGGTATCATACCTCAGCCACATAGTATATATATACACACGTATACATACCATTTCAACATTTGGTAACTAATTCATTGCTGTGTTGTCTACATTAGCTAAACAATTCCAGATGTAAACTTGGGGGAAAAGTGTAACATTCAAGGATTTTTCTGTTCCCAAATGTCTTGTGTGCATGTATTCCATATTCCCTCCCACTAATCCCAATGACCCCAAACTGAACTACTTCCAAACAACTCACACTTTCCACATGAAGTCTCTGTTCATGCCATTTCCTCAGCCTGAAAACACTGTTCCCATTATTTTGTTGCTTGTCAGAATCATAGTCAGTCTTAAGTCAAACTGTCCTTCCTCTTTAAAAGTCTTTTCTAGACCACTACTTTTTCCTTCCAACTGGAAGCAATTGCACCCTGCTGTGTGGTCCCTGTACATCTCTTTAAACACTTATCTTTTCTTAGGTTATGGTCACTGTATGTCATTTCCCGCGGAAAGGGAAAGTTCTGTTTATCTCTGTTGCATAGGGTGAAGTCCAGATTTCTTAGAATAATGTACAAGGCTTTTCAACTTGGTGCCTGTGTTCTTTTGAGCCTTTTGTCTTGATGTTCCCCGCAGTGAACCTGATATTAGAGCTATAATATAAGCCATTTTTGCATCTAACTTCTACATATCTCAGATTCAATTATCTTGATTCCATGGCTTTGAAGGAACAGAGAGCTCCCTAGAATTTCTGGGAATCTCTGGAGCCTTGCATTCTCACACAATCTGCACCGCCTCTGACATCACCAGACCACCACACTGGCCACTTTCCTCTATGGTTCCTTACCTGATTATGAAATTTAGCCTCCTTTTACTCTTTGAGAAAATAAAGCAAAAACCTTCCTGCAAAAGATCTCAGGTATTGGACTAACTTCTGGAGACCAAGGAAGACTAATATTACAATGATGCCTCGATTTCCCTCGAAGTGGGCATTAACCTGCCTTTGCCCACTGAGACCCAGTCACTCCATCTTGCTGGATCCTCTTTCCTCCCATTGTCTTCCCATTCTACTCTGTCCATTCCTTCCAGAAGTAAAACCTTGGCACCAGGAATCAAATTAAACAAAGTAAAGCAAAGCAAAACAAGCAGTAATATCAACAAGGCCAACAGTTTCCCCCTAAAAGGAATTCTGTGGCAACTGTGTTAAATAAAAAAGGGAAAATATGTTTTAGTGAACAATTATGATTAAACATGGCATTTTGTTTTAATACTTTAATAATTCTGATAAAATTGTAAAGATTTCACAGGATGATAAATGGCATCTTTAGCAAGTGCATGTCATTTGCAGCCAGTCTTTAAAAATTCTAACTTGTCTACATGAAAGTAAAGTCTAAATGAAAATGTTAAGTATAATTCCATAGGATAAATTTTCCATAGGATAATAAAACACACTTGGCTACTATCAACTATAAGGCAAAGAGACAAACTTTGCATCTCTTACTTGATATTTTCATTTAAACTATTTGTTTTTTTTTATTGGGGAAATATCTAAGCTCTTCCAATTCTTCTAACATGAATAAAATATCTTCCACATCTGGAACCCAGACCACATTCAATAGCTCCACAGGGTTTGATCATTCTTTGTTTTGAAACAAGGAGGCAGAAAACATAATATGTTCCTAGCAAAAGAATCCACAGTCACAATAAAATTAAAAGAATGAACAGAGTGATTTTATTTTGGGGTGGTGTACAGAACCATCAAACAAAATTACAAATCACAGTTTAAACAGTGGCTTAAATCTAACACTTTTTCCTTTAGTTTGGACTTTTTTTTCCTCCTTTCTTTAAATGAAGAGGCCCAAAGGGAAAAAAAATCTAATATTTGCAGACTCCATATTCAATTATGACCCAAATGTTGCATTTAAAAATCAATAAAATGTAAACCAGAAATACAAATAAAAGGACAAATCTATAGCCATTTCTAGCATTTTCTCTGCTAACTGACTCTGGAATCACAGAATGGGGGGGGGGGGGGGGGAGAGAGAGAGAGAGAGAGAGAGAGAGAGAGAGAGACACTGAGGATGTTATTTTATGGAATTATAAAAGTAACAAGATCCTGAAAGCAAAACAGGAAGATGGCATCTATAAGCCACATTTGTCAATTCTTATATCTGAGGGTTGTGCCTATCAGTTTAGGGGGGAAAGTCCTGAGAAAGGACAATACAATCACATATTAAAAATGTAAGAGCTGAAAAGTGCAATCTATTTTGTATTCCATAAAAAGAAACAATGTATTAAAACTGAAAAAGAAGTGGGCTATTAGTGAGAGATTATCTGTCAGTAGGCCTTTATATAAAGATCTATTCCCTTTCTCTCTCTTCTTCTTCTCTTTAATCATAAAATTAGCTAAAGATTTTGAGATTTGTAGGTTTGGAACGAATAAGGACTTACTGACAAACAGATTCATTAGCCACATAAAGTGTCTTCAAGATAAAGTTAGAGTTGTTTATATTGATTCCGATAACATCTGTCTGAAAACAGCAATGTAATAACTTCCTAAGGAGTTTTCTTGCCCTGGAATTCTGCAGCACTTTTTGCAAAATATCAGAGACAAAAATATTAGAGAAACATTATTCAATAATCTTTTTATCCAAATTGAGTTTGTTTTGTCAAATATAGAGAAATATAACAGGAAATAAATTCTTTTTGCTTGCATAATTTTAAAAAAATGCTGTTAATTTGCACAAATAGTTATTAAAAATATACCTTCCATACTAAATTATAATCTAAAATGATCTTTATATTTTCAGGGTTTGATAATGCTTTCCAGACATAAGAAACTTAAGGAACTTTCTTTATCTGAGTGTTATAAAATCACGGATCTTGGAATTCAGGTATGATAATTAAGGTCTTCTGTTAAAGAACTGTGATAGAAAACTAAGAATAAATTGAATAAACTTTGTAGGTCAGAGTAGATAAAAGAAGTGGGTGAGAAATTGAACAACACATATGTGATTATGGTTGAGCCAAGATCAACTCTGGGCTCTTTGTTGGGTCTTCCAGGCCAACATGAGTGAGAGGCTTTGTTTTCTCATTTTTCTCTTTCTTCCTCATGTCAGACTCAGATAAATAGAGACATTTTATTTGGAGAGTGATGGAACTGCTCTGTGTTAAAAAGTCTTCTCATATATAGAGAGGGCTCAATAGAATAAAAATGTTAAGTAATCTAACCATGAACATTGGGCGACTTTGAAAAACCTATACCAGATACTTAACAATTTGAAAGTTAAGTTACTCAAAATAGTTGGTAGCATTCTTTATCAGAATGGACAGCATAAGGTAAGTAATTGAGTAGGATAAATGTTTATGTGCTCAAATGATACTTCAATAATTTATGAGAAAGATCAATTTCCTAGACCTGGTCCTGAGAGATGTACAGGAAGTCATAAAGTAGGCATTGTGAGCAACCACAGTGTCATTTTCAGCACATTCAGCATCTTACTGGGTTGTTAAGATTAAAAAACACTAAAACAGTGTGTCATGCATGTGTGGAAAAGGGACAAAACCGATAACCGAGGCATATGGAAATTGTTAAAGACACTGGGAACTCCAAATAAATGAGTCTTGAGAGTTTAAAAGACCTCGCCACATAGGAGAACCTGAGGCTAACCATGAACATTGAGGGACTTAGGAAAAAAAGGAAAAAAGGGCAGAAGGAACTTTCTTCAGAGATAAAGGGATGGATCCCACAAGTAGAGTATTCTGCTTTCTTCTTCTTCTTTTTTTTTCTTTTAAATGGTGATTCCATTCCTAGTTTTTTTTTTAAATAATGTTTAGCTGTAGACAGACACAATGCCTTTATTTTATTTATTTATTTTTATATGGTGTTGAGGATTGAACCCTGTGCCTCACATGTGCCAGGCAACACTCTACCACTGAGCCAGAACCCCAGCCCCATTCCTAGTTTTTTTAAAATTTATTTATTTTTTTAGATATACATGACAGCAGAGTGTATTTTGACATATTATACATACATGGAGAATAGCTTATTCTAAACAGGATCCCATTCTTGTGGTTGTACATGCTGTGGAATTATACTGATCATGAATTGGACATAAGTTTCCAATCCTTATATATGTTCTTTCTGGTCCCAGATCAGTCAGTCTACACCTATTCAGGAAATTGCACCCTAGTCAACAACCAGAAAGCAAGACTATGGAGAACTTGTTGTCTTCTTCTCAGCTCCTTTCTTCTTACCTTTTTCTTTTCTTTTCCGTGTATGTATGTGTGTGTGTGTGTGTGATTCTAGAAATTGAACCCAGGGCCTCATACATGCTAGGCAAGCACTCTACCACTCAACTACATCCTAGCTCACTCTCTCGTTTTTAAAGGGCACAAAATATTTGTACATATTTATGAGGGACAGAACAATAGTTCAGTACATATATATAATGTGTCCCCATCCAGCCACCCACCCATCTATCCACCCACCTTTCCTCTATTTATCCACCTATATATTCATCCATCTATACATCAACCTACCTATCCATTTATCTGCCTGCCTAATTAATCATCATCCATTTATCCATTAATCTATTAGCTCTCCTCCGCATCTATCCATCTACTCACATATCCATTTATTCATTCATCCATCCATGGGCCAGAGGTGATATTAACATCATACAGTATACAAGAGAACTCCCTATGACAAAGAATGAGTTAACCCTCATGTCAATAATACTGAGGTTGAGAAACCAATTTCTACAACAGAATTCTAAGTTCCTTGAGAGAAAAGATCATTTCTTATTTGAGTTTGTAGTTCCAGTAGTTAATATAGTTGCAGGTATATTACAGGTATTCTATAAATAATGAATGAATAAAATAAAATAGTTAAAAGTTTGAATAAAATTTGACCTTTTAAAAATTTGTATGTATTTACGGCTGGGGATATACCTCAGTTGGTAGAGGGCTTGCCTTGCATGCACAAGGCCCTGAGTTGGATCCCCAGCACCAAAATAAATAAATAAACAAACAAATAAATAAATAAATTGTATGTATTTAATTTAAGTAATCTAAAAGAGATAATTTTTTTAAAGGTGCATGGAATACAGGAACATGGAAATACATAATTACTCAATTATTAGTTGCATCAAATCAGCTATTTTGTTCAAGTTCATGAAAAGGAAATTTTGTTTTCACCATCTCTCATTCCTCTTTTTCTCCTCTCTGTTTTTGAAGTGGTGTGTGTGTGTGTATGTGTGTGTGTATGTGTGTGTATGTGGTTGTTGTTGTTTTTTAGCCAGTTTTAACTCTTCCAAGGTTCACACTTCTGGACATGCTAAAAGTAATCATTTTCCTCTTTCCCTCCTCTCACTGAATTTAGTCTCAAAAAGGGAACAGAGAAAGAAAGGGGAGGAGAAAGTGACTTTTGCCAATTTCACAACTTATTATCTGGATTTATAAAGAGAGTAAAGGAGCAAAACATAGCAATTAAATTAGATGTTTAGGTTATTCATAATTTATCAGAAATTTTCTCTCTCTACTCATAAAAGGTAGGGGAGACTCTCTTTTTAGCATAAGACATTGAAAACCCCATTTTAATGAGAAATGAAAAGATTTTTACCCTAGTTAGGTTTTGTAAGAGTTGTAAACATAATAATTAAAAAATTACCTCATTTTGGAGTTTTACTGGAAGCTACAGCTCTTGCAGATTATGTGTCTGGGGCCTCAGATGTATTGACTTTTAGGATCTGGCTTTAATTATTTTCTCCAGCTTCAGTTCTTTTCTGAAAATATTATGTGTTCAATGATTATGTTAAATTAAAATTATTTGGTGCTCTTGAAATGCAACTTTGGAAGAAATGTTTGATATAACTGTAATCAAGCATTTCTCAAGAAACATTTTTTGAGCATTTTATAATATTAAATAATAGAATGTCAAGTTTGGCAGAGAAATAAGTTTAAATGGAAGTGTTACAAGACAGATAAACGGCAAGTTCTGTATTAGATTACTATGATAGAACCAATGGAATAAATCCAATTATGTACTCTGGTTACTTTTTATATTTCCTTCATCTAGTTCACACTTCTTGTTTCTTTTTTTTAAGAATAAAGTATACTATTAATAACAGTAATGTAATATTCATTCATATGAAGGTATATGTTTTTCTTTATGCAGAGTATCTGTGGGTGAAAATCTTGCAATTAGACAAAACTTTCTGATTATTTCAGTGTTAGTATGTTGAGGCAGTTAAAAAGGGGAATTAGGAAGCAAAAATCAGGTTTCATGTGACCCACCAAAAACACTAACACATGTATGCTGTGAAAAGTGTGCATAATATTCAAATCCACACTTTCTGTATACTGAATGTATAACAAAGATGTGGGTGAAGTTAAAGCCTGTTGTAGTGAGACTAGAATTGTCTCACAATTTTCTGAGTTTATAATTGCTTTATTTGGGGATTTGGGACAAATGGAAGTATTCTCTTTTGCAATATAATAAAAGAATGTCATCTTGAAAAAAAGTGTGCATACATGCATGTTTATATGTAAATGCGTACATAAATGTGTACCTATTGTTTAGTATGTATAAATTAAATGTACAGGCACTTCATGTTTGATTATATGTGTTTACATGTAAATACATAAGCAAATGTAAAACTATATGTTTAATATGTGTGTGAATTAAGTGTATCTATATATCTTAGTATATATTACATAACATACATATGTCAATGTATGTTTTTTGCATCCAAATTGTGTTTAGAGATGCTATAAGATTGTATTCTGTAATATATATACATGTGTGTATATATATATACACATATATAAATGTATGTGTGTGTGTATATATATATATATATATATATATATATGTAAATAAATGTATGTGTATAGTGTGTGTGTGTGTGTGTGTGCGCGCGCGCACATGTGTGTGCTTTTAAGGCTAAAACCAGTAAATGGTGGTCAGCACTCAAGGAAAAAAGTAAAAAATTAGTTTGTTAATGAATTATCTTTAATTTCAAAAATAATCATCCACTTAAATTACAAGGCTCTATTTTCTATGGGAGTGTGTGGATTGACTTTCTTAGGCAAAGATAATGATGTAATATAGGGGATTGGTCTCTACTGACCGAAGTCTTGATTTTTATACTGATTCTGCCTTCCACATGGCCACATGATCTTACGCAATGTACTTAGCCTCACAATAGTTCATCACTGTTATAGTGACTACAGTTGTGAAACAGATAGGAGTTAGCATATTAGAGTAGGAGTTGGCTTTTTTTGTTAACCTTTCTGTAATGTTTTTCTGTTCAGGACCAGGTAGCTTATATTCTAGACTTTCAAAGCCACATAGTCTCTGTCACAACTGTTCAGTTTTGCTGCTATTGTGTGGGAACAGCCATAGACAATGTGGAAAAAAAAATGAGTGTCTGTTTTCCAATAAAACTTTGTTTATGGACACTGGAACTTTATTTATGGACACTGAAATTTAACTTTATGTAATTTACACATGTTATTAAATATTCTTTTGTTATTTTCCAACCATTTAAAAATATAAAATCCATTCTTGGCATGTAGGCCATACAAAAATAGATGGCAGACCAGGTTTGCCTCACAAGTTATAATTGCCACTCTCTGGTTTAGAGTCAGACAGGACTTTCCAACTTTGGCTCTGTTGGGCTGTGTGACTTTGGGTAAGTTACTTTCTTTCCCTGGGTCTTAAGATTCCTCATTCATAAAAATGAGTATAATTTAAAAATATTCTTTAGGTTGTATTAAATGATATAAAATAGCTAAGTACTTGGTATGATTCCTGACACAGAGTAAGTGTGATTACTGTTGTTATTGTTCTATATAGTAACCAACATACACTATTAAGTTTTAAAAAATT